TGTTTTATTTTATTTTATTTTATTTTATTTTAAAGAGAGAGTGAGAGAGAGAGAGAGAGAGAGAGAGAGAGAGAGAGAGAGAGAGAGAGAGAATTTCCAATATTTATTTTTTAGTTCTCGGCGGACACAACATCCTTGTTGGTATGTGGTGCTGAGGATCGAACCCAGGCCGCACGCATGCCAGGCGAGCGCGCCACCGCTTGAGCCACATCCCCAGCCCCATATTGTTTTATTTTTAAACCATGGATTTTATTTTAAACTATTATTCTTTCTCACTTAATTCTATGATGTGAACTTTTTTGGGTACTGGGGATTTAACTAAGGGGCACTCGACCACTGAGCCACATCCCCAGCCCTATTTTGTATTTTATTTAGAAACAGGGTCTCACTGTTTGAACTCCCCATCCTCCTGCATCAATCTTCTAAGCCACTGGGATTACAGGCGTGCACCGCACCTGGCAACTTTTTTTTTTTTAACTTGAGTTTTTGGTTCTAATTCTGATGGTAACCAGACTTCTGCTGTGAAATATTTTGTTTCTTTGTTTATTCCTCTGATTGGTATTGCTTTTTTTATTAGGATTTTTTGAGGAATAGCTAACTACATTTTCAATATTAATCTATTTTTCACAGTAACCATCTTCAATGAATAGTCTAAAAATTCTCATGTTACTGGATGTATATGTTTTAAGTCTCATGTATCTTCAACTCCCACCCCTAAATGCCTCAGATTGGACCAGCATAGTGATTTGTCACAGGAAGAAACTATTTGTTAAAAATCTAGCACAGTAAATACTAACTTCAGATTATTGACTTTCACCTTTTTCTAGAATGAAGTTAAAGCTCTGTCTGAGGAAAGAACTGCCATTAAAGAGCAGCTGGATTCATCAAACAGCACTATTGCCATTTTACAAAATGAGAAAGACAAACTACAGTTGGAAGTTACAGATTCTAAAAAAGAACAAGATGATCTCTTGGTGCTGTTGGCCGATCAAGATCAGAAAATATTGTCATTGAAGAATAAACTCAAGGATCTTGGTCATCCAGTAAGATAGAAATGTTTCCAGAAATGATTTGTATTATATTTCTTTGTGAACATTTAAAAAATTTTTAACACAGCATGGAAAAATTGTTCCTTTATTATAGGTATTGTTATGTGGATTTATGAATAAGGTATTATCTACATTTCTTTCACTATTCAGTGAGTTGGTTTAAGACACAGATTAAATTTATTTTCCAGCACTTTAGACTATTTTCTTTTGGACCATGACCTAAAAAGTGAATTAATTTGATAACTCCTGTGATAACAAGACTCTGAGCACCCAAGTGGACCATCATCTTTGTCATGTTTGGTTCAGATTTGCATGTGGAGATGTAATTTATTAGTAAAGTTAACTGATATATCTCATTTGTGTTAAAAATGACAGGGAATCTTGAGCATTAAATCAAGGACATCAGATGGTGTATATTCTACTATAATTACTAAAACAGAATACATGTATACATTTATCATGTATATTATATCTGAGTTTGAACAGATTTCCATAGTATTAAATTTATATTTTCCCTTTAGATTGAAGAAGAGGATGAACTTGAATCTGGAGATCAAGACGATGAGGATGATGAAAATGAAGATGGTATCAAGGACCAGGATCATATCTAACTCTAAAATCTCTAGGAATAATAGACATTATATTGTAATTTTGAAGATGGAATCTTAAGAGTGTTTTGGTTTGCCTCTACAGGAAATAAAGATTTAGAAACCAAGTGGAAAACATTGACTAATAAAACTATTGATGTATTTTTTAATTTTGCCACCCATGTTGAAAACCCTAAAACTCTCTACAGAACACCCATTTTATTTAAATTCATCTAATCTGTCCCAAAATATAATTTGTGAAGACAAATGCTCAAGCGCACACAAAACCATTTGAAGGCATGTGGTGGCAGTGCTATTGGCCTTATTAGTTCATTGGTTGTTTACTTTTCAGAATTTGTGGCTTTTAAATACTAACACATTTGATTTTTACGTATTGGATTGGAATCATTGTTTCTAAATTGAGCATTTGAGCTCTTAGCTAATGATTTCCTTTTATAGAAAGGAAATTTACTTAAAGGCAAGATAGTCTGGGCATGTGTTATCAGCACTTGGTGGCATGTGACTCCCAAGATGAGCAGGAGAGGGCAATAGAGAATGAGTGCTTTGACACCTGATGTGGCTGTATTTTGTACCTCTGAAGAAAGAAGGGTTCTGACACAGTGATGTGGAGGGAGGTTCTGATAAATTTTTGCAGCAGTGTATTAATACAGTTGGTTTTCTTTTTATTTTAAGCTAAATATGGAAGATAAATTACAAGTTAATAGCTCATACAATTCAGTTTAGTATTGTTTGGTTATTATAAATGATATGTTCCTAGTTTTAAAAAGACCCAAACTATGATTTATATAATTTATTGGCATTTTTGCTGAGTAGGTTTAAGTCAGATAATAGATTTTTAAAAAGCAGATGAAGCAATTTGTCAAAATTTAATGTTTTCGTAATAAAAATAGATATTATGTTCACTTAATCCATGGTCACGGTTCCTTATTTTTTAAACTTTGAGAAAATTGTTTTATTCTTTTGTTGTTCTTTTTAGATATACATGATAATAGAGTGTATTTTGACATATTACACCTACATAGAGTATAACTTATCCTAATTAGGATCCCATTCTTGTGGTTATAAATGATGTAGAGTTTCACTGGTCATGTATTCATATATGAACATAAGAAAGTTATGTCTGATTCATTCTGTTTTCCTATTCCCATCGCCTGTTTTATTCTTAATAAAGGGTGAGCTCAATGTAAATGGAAAGACTTTTGTTACTAGTTGTACATTACTATGACTGAACATTAAAAGCAATCTTATTTCAAACTAACAATTAGGATTCCATAAGATGGGAAGAAACTAGTTGTAGAAACTACGGGAGTGGGGGAAGAAATTTGAGAAGGGTTTGTCTGCTTCTACATTCAGCATTAGAATTCTTAGTAATGATTCTCTTTTAAAGAAATGGATTCAAAGGCAAAATAGCCTGGGCTGCTTGGTGATTTATCATCTGCCTTCTGGGTTTGGGAATAGTTTGAGCAGTTCACTATGGGGCACAAACTTTTGAAAGAGAAGTATTCTTCACCTGTCTCAAAAAAGAAGATGACTGTGTTACAAAGAGCCAGTGTATGCTTCACTGTGCCCCCCCACCACCAAAGACCTTCAGAAAGAAACATCTACAAAATCAGTGCTGGTGGTATGTGCAACTTAGCCCTCAGATTGTCCTGGAGTGGAAAGAGGAAGTCTCAGATGCACAGTTCATCCTGGAACCAAAAGGGGCATCTTTACCCCATGGCCCCAGCCATGATTTTTTGCCTGGATAGAATCCGCTACTGCATCTGCATTGAGGATTTTCTTCCCACAGGCTTCTCAGCCAATAAATGATGAAGCAGAAATGCTAAGCCAGGCATATTCCTCGGGGACAAAGAACTGTCCTGTCCAGCCTCTTGGAACCTCACTCTGCATGCAGAGTTTATAGTTTACTCAAAGACTCATGGTGACTCGTGGGTTTCTGGAAGTGTTCTCTACTTTGCACCTGTCACTACAGTACAGAAACTCACAAATTCAGCTGTCTCAGCTTCCCCAAACTAATTCACTAACAACAAATTGCCATGTTTGTGTGGGGTTTTCTTTATTTGCTGTCCAGTCTTAAAGTACCTCTGGTCAGAAAATGGGAAGATGAAAAATTGATTTGTTTTCACTCTAGGGAATTGCAGTCTTGTACTGCCAATCACTTAATCTATTAAAAAAAAAAACACTTTAAATGCATTTCGACCAGTTTAATTGTTGTTGGTGGCAATAGAATCAGTCTGTTACCAGCTAATCATCATAGCTGATAGCAGAAGCTCCAAAAATAACCTCCAGTAAGTATTTATAACACTACCATAAAACTATTACAATAATAGTAGTTAACATTTATTGAGATGTTCTATTTAAAGGTCATTAGTCAGTATTTTACATATTTTAAGTCAGTCTTCACAACAACCTTATCAAGTTGGTACTACTATTATCCCCATTCAACTAATAAGAAAATTGAAGTTTACAGAGGTTAAATAATGGTTGCCAGATAAAATGCAGGATGCTCAGTTAAATTTGAAATTAAGATCATTAAAAATTTTAGTATATATTATGCAATATTTGGGACATACTTACACTAAGTATTTCTGTTAAATGAAATTCAAATTTAACTGGCTATCATAGTTTGCTAAATCTGGCAACCCAAAACTACTCACTTCTGTATAAGGACTTGGAACCCAGCAGTCTAACTTCAAAATTCATATTCTTAACCCTAATGCTGTTCTATCAGTAGTAATTACTACATGTGAACTAGATTCTTGTTCAAATCAATCAGGTCTGTAGTTTTGGGGTTTTCTAAATTCAATATTAGAAATGCCACGCTGAGGGCGTTAAAAAAGAATGTTTGGCTGCTCTACCAGAAATTGAGAGACAAGCATTCAGAACTAGTACATCCTCAATAACTAGTAGAGGAGCTATTCATCATCATAATTGCTGTTGATAATTAATAATATTGTTATATTTAATAAAGCTATTTTTGATACCTTGTCAACTGTGATGAGTAAACTGTTAAATGGCCCTATCACCATAAAACTGGTAAAAGTCACTCTTAAGCGGGTATTGATAATAGTCATATTAAAATATGCTATTATAGTTATGTAAAAATATAAGTGGAATAATTCAATGCCAGTAAATCATTCCAAAATAAATTGAAATACAAAACCCCAAACTGGTAGCAGCAGGTAAATTTTAAAAGTGAGTATGAGTGGGCTCGGGTTGTGGCTCAGTCTATAGTGCGTGCCTAGCATGTGTGAAGCACTGGGTTTGATCCTCAGCATCACATAAAAATAAATAAAATAAAGGTATTGTGTCCATTTACAACTAAAAAAAATTTTATCAGGAAAAAAAATTTTAAACTCTAAAAAAAATTAGAATGAGTGAAAAGATAGGGCCTGACAAAGGAGAGTTTCAACAGTGTTGTTTAACCAAGATATTCCAGAAAGAATTGTTCAGTCAGGATATCAGAATAATAAGTGAACCTATTTTAGCTTTATGGGTATCAGGACTTTCCATAGAGATGAGTTAATGAAACACCAGTATAAACTATGGCCCTGAAAGCATGCTGAGAAAGTTGCCTGTAAAAGTATTAAGAAAAATTTTTTTAAACCATACGATTTATTTTTATTTTTTTTAGTCATACATGACAGCAGAATGTATTTTGACATATAATACATACATGGAATGTACATACATCAATCATATTGTCTATTCTATTCTGCTGCCCTTCCTATCCTCCCTGCTCCTCCCCTCCTCTCCCGTCCTCTCTCTATCCAATCTAATGTGACACACTTTTTTTTTCTTTTTCTCATCACAACATCATATATGTATTCTGTATAACAATGAGGTTCTCCTTCCATCTAAGAAATGTTTTTTAAGGCCACTTCCTGGCAACAACTGAGTTTGCCTTTAGTTTCCCATTAAGTATGGAGAAGGGGTCTGTATGCCTGTATGTTGGGTAGAGGGATGAAAATTTGTGACAATGTTAAGAATTTACTTGGACCAGATAATCCCAGCAACTTGGAAGATTGAGCCAGGAGGATTCTATGTTCAAGGCCAGCCTGGCAATTTACTGAGACCTAAAATAAGAACTAGGGATATAGTTCAGTGATAGGGTTCAATCCCTAGTATTATAAAAAATGTTAATACTAAAAGGAAAATGTACATGTTTATTTGTACGAAATTTTCCAGTAGAGATTAAAAATAGCAGTAATCATCTAGCACATTTCCTTTTGTTTATTTGTTTGGTATTAGGGATTGAACCCAGAGCAACTTAACCACAGAGCCACATCCCCAGCTCTTTATTTTTTATTTTAAGGCAAGATCTCACTAAATTACCAAGGACCTGGCTAAGTTGCTAAAGCTGGCTTTGAACTTGCAATCCTCCTGCCTTAGTTTTTTGTGCTGCTAGGATTACAAGTGTATACCACCATATGCAGCTTCAAAGTTCTTAATTTTTTCTAGAACTCTGAGTTTGTTAGAAGTACCTGGTGCTTTATTGAAAATTATAACATGCTTTTTGCCACAGTCCGGCTGCAGCAAAATAACCCGGGGGTGAGGAACAACTTGTGTACATTGATACAGCAGGAGTGAGAGCCGTTTATTGTAGGACAGGAGGGGTATATATACATTCCACACAGCTTATCTTAATTAACATAAAATAGATACAGCAGTCAACCAATAAGAAATCTCCACACTTAATGGCTTGCTGGCGCCACCTCACAAACCACTCCCCCTGGCAAAATGCCAGGCTCCATCCTGACTTGTTTACAGACTCTAACACTTTTTATGTAGGGTGTACATTTCAAATATAATTTAGAACTTACTTTCAATGTAAACAAGTTAATTTCATTACTTCTATGTCACAAAATACTAAACATTTTTCTATAATTTTATTGTTTTAGTTAATTTGAATCCCAATTAAAATTCCTCTCTATTCTGTATTTTATCCATTTAATCCTTGGACATGATTATTTTCTAACTCTAGGTGATCCCTCTATATATGAATTCCTTCCAAAGATAAACTATTTCTGATTATTATAGCATAAAATTAAAATATTATGCAAAAAATGATATTTGCTATTCCTGGTTGCTACGGTCTGAATGTGTATGTACCCCTGTAGTGGCACCCCCTTTCTCCACAGAAAAGTCTTAATTGGGCTTCTCCAGAAATCTTCACTACAGCTGATTTTAGGACGGTCTCTACAAAAGAGTTCAGTGTATATAACTTCCTATTTTTGTGTTGCCCTATCTTACTTGGCCACTGAATGGGGAGAAATCAGCACTCCAGGTGCTGGACACCCCCCTACTAGCTTTTTACAAACATGTACCCAGTATAGTAGTTTATGTGAAAACAAGGCCTCTGATCTTGAGCTGGGCCTTCACGGAGATATCTGTATTTCTAAGATAAGAGAAGTTACCAGTTGGGCTCCATGGTAACAGCTGGCAGAGGGAGGAAAGAAAGGGGAGAAGAAGCTCTCCCCTTCTCAGATGTTGTCTTTGAAGGGTTAACTTGCCCAGAACAGTAAAGAAAAAGCTGCTTTTATGTGAACTTCTGAGCCCCTCCCCCTACATGCTGGGTATAAAATCCTGAAACTACCTGAACTTGGGGTTCAGGGCATTGATTGCTTACAGCAACAAAGCTGTGCCCTCTGAACCTGGCTCCAGCCAAATAAAATTCTTTCCTTCTATCTTCGGTGCCCTGCCTCATCTGTCCCTACAACACCCCCCCACCCCAATTCTGATGTTGAAATGCTC